TCACTGCACAGCAAAGAAGTTCTTCCTCATGTCCAGCTGGAACTTGCTGGGATCAGTTCCTGCCCGTTCCTCCTGTGCCATTGCTGGGCCCCCCGAGCAGAGCCTGGGCCATCCTCTGCCCCCTCCCTGCAGCCCCTGACACACATGGATGGGGTCCCCTCTCAGTGTCTGCTCTGGAGGCTGAACAGCACCAGCTCCCTCAGCCTAAGGAGGGTCCCACTTACTGGTAGAGAGGCCGTGGGAGTGGGTAGGGAATGAAGGCCCGGTAGGAGATGGTGTAGATGTACTCGACCATGTCGTACAGCAGGTACCGGTGAGGCCTGAGGGAAGAAGCAACAAACATTACAGCTCAGTCAGGGGTACCTGAATATACTTAAGTGTTTGCACCAGGTGACAAAAAAATTTTAGAGCCTTCCACCCCCTGAGGGCCCGTTTCCTTCAATCCTAATGATTTGTCCACCCTGCTGCTCACAGGGAGCCCACGGTGGAGCAGGTTTCTCCTCAGGGGTTATATTGCACAGTTCCTTTTGTTTTCCAACTTCCTCAGCAGCTCAGTTAAAGCACAGAACAAACTGGCACAACACGAGGAAGAGCCACACCAACAACCACCTCTGGGTCATGGCAATAAAGAGCCAGCACTGCAACAGCCTCACAAAATAAACCACTTGGAAAAACCAATTTAACCTCAGAAAAAATCCAGGTATCTTTGCAAGGGACACCTTCCACTGGAGCAGGCTGCTCCAAGCCCCATCCAACGTGGCCTGGGACACGTCCAAGGAAGGGGCATCCCCAGCTTCTCTGGGTGACCTGTAAACCCCTTGCCTTTAACAGGAGAACCACTGCCTCTAAGTATTGAAATTCCAGGTGTTTTCCACACAGCTTTACCAGAGTTTTCTCCAAATCTATGTCGTCCAGCATGCTTCCCAAGATGCCTGCTCCTCTGTGTGCACACACAGAACATGAAACGCAATGGGGCCCAAACTGGGATTTTCGGAGTACTCACAGTAACAGCTCGAGTCATTTTTCCTCCCAAAAAGGAGGTGGAATTTATTGCAGCTCAAACTGTGTGCAAGGATGGAGACATTAAATGTACTGTGCAGCATGCCAAAAAAATGACACCAAAAAGAAGTACTTCAGTTAATTAGAATCAGAAAAGTGACCTACCCGGCCAAGGCATACGTTTTTCCTTTTGCATCAGGATTCTTAATTGCATTAATAATTGCCTTTGCGACATCAACCACCTGTGAGGAACAAATTCACACCATTACCAACAGAAAACAGGAATATATGCACACACTAATGTTTCAAAAGTGATTCACATGTACCCAAATACACCCAGAGAGGACTGGAGATCGTGTTGTTTTATTGAAAACTTACATAGACTGGTTGTTTCACCGTTTTTTTGCCCAGGGCAATGAGAGGCACACCACCAAACCAGCGCATGTCTGCCAGAAAGAGGGAGAAAACCTGTGAATCCTTTCAGGAAGCAAACCACCAAGACACTTTACACCACTTCTGAAAACTGACTTAACTTTAAAAAAAAAAAAACCAGAACTGGGAAGAATTCCCATCCAATTCAAGTAGCGTTGTTTTCCACACACATTTAGTTTTCTTAAAAAATAATGAGGGGAAGGCCGTATTTACTGCTTAGAGTGGTTCAGAGGTGTCTCAGCAGTACACATCCTCCCTCAAAATAAAACAATTTAAAAAAATAAATTCAAAGAGTAAAATTATAATCAGACTCAGAAAGACTTCAGTCCAGAGATGAGAATTTCTGTTTCTGTGTTTCCCGCTACACACGCTCAGTAACAAAGCACATTTCTGATCAAAACACACCACCTTTTCAGAAGCAAATCCCATCTTCCTCTGTCCTCCACAGACAGTTACCCAGATCACACATGGGTTTATCATTTCAAGAGCACATACTTGCATAATGGTTGAGAAATCGGTCTTCTCTCCCAAACATCTCCGAGGGCTTCAAAATGATGGCATTTGGAAATTCCTCCCTCACAACCTTCTCTCCAACAGCCTGGCATTCAATTAGAATGAACACATTCATTAGATCCACTCTGAACAAACCAGAAGTGGATGTCTGACTGCAGAACTGAAAGAAATGGCACCATCAGAGGCACAAAAATTATCTGTATCTAAGCCATTTGATCTCGGAGATGTGTTACACTCAGAGAGCCCGAAAAAATCTCGTAGATCATTTCTTCTGCCTGAGATAAAATGCAGCCTCACTAGTGAAGTGACACGAATTCAAAGGGACAAGGTTCAAAAAGAAGCCTTAAGTAAATAAATAGATTTATACTGAAGTTAATGCAAAGTACAGTAACACAGGATTTCTGGCTCCAGTAAGTAAACTACCTCAAAAATGTCTCAGCTGCAGAAAACACTCCATAGTAAATTCACACACTGATTTCCTTCAAACAGACCCAGTTGGGGAAGCAAACAAAATAAAACAAATGATTTTTAAAAAGCAGGCTCTCAGAAAACACATTCCAAAAGATTCCAGACTTACTTTGCTCCTGAGGTACTTGGAAGGACTCTTCATGTTGGCATTCAGGTGAGAGATGTGAATGAACGTTTCCACACCAGCTTCCCTACTTATCTGTGCGATACTCTGAGGAATATTTACAAATTCATCTTCAAATTTGAAGTTTCTAAAACAAGGCAAAACCCAGCTTTTACTTTGAGAGCAACCAACATGCCTGCCAACCAAAAAGCAATCACTAAGTGTTACTTGAATGTATTTCAAAAACCTCTCTTGATGCTCCTTCTTAAAAACTCAGTTCCCTTTCATGGGGCACTCTTCATGTAATAAAAATCAGAGGCAAGTGAAATGCAGCTGTCACCTTCAACTATAAATTCTCTGTTTTTCACATGTTAAATCAGCAAGAAAAATCCTCTTGCCCACTTGTCAGCACCGAATAGAAAAGTCTGCCCAAGTGAAAACAGGTTATTTTTATTTAAGAGAAGCGCTGCTGCATCTTGAGCTCTGAGCAAAGCTGTGCATTTACAAAACCTGTCCAAAAGCTGACTTGATTTGATGCACTTAATTACATTATAAAGGAGCTCAAGAATTCTGAGCAGTGCAAGTTAGGGCAGACGCCTGGCGTTGGGGAAGTGGACAGAAACAAACCAAAAATCACAGAGGTGCTCGTGCAAATGGAAAAAATGAAATTTTCAGGGCATTTAGAGCCATTTCAGAGCAGCCTGAAGGGACTTCACAGAGAAGCACAGAGGAAGAAAAAATCCTCCCCTCACTGCATGACATTCAAGGGGCCTAAATTAGGGGTTAAACTGTAAACTAGTTTGGCATCAGATCAAGAACAATACAGAAGCTCTGTCTCCAAGCAGAACTGACACTATAGGCTGGCAAACATCCCAAAATTCTTTCCAGCTATCCCAAGACTTCAAGAAAGAGAACTGGCCTCTCATGTCTTTCTATTACCCTTGTAAGCACCACTCAATCCTGCCCATTTGCCTTGGGTAACAAACATCCAAACTCTCTCTCTGTCCTTATCTACTCCCACAGCATTTCAGATCCCACTGGAGTCCAAAGAAAGCCTTCAAAATAAGAGGTTATTTTTGACCCTTCAATAACTAATCTGATCCTGGGAACCATCACTCCTGTTCTACTCACAAAAATAGATTTAGAAACACA